GGAGTCCTGTACGCAATGCCGCGCCTCCAAGTCCCTCAACCAAAAGCCTGCCGGCCTTCTCCAATAGTTAATTATTCCCTCCCGTCGCTGGAGCCACATCAGCTTGGATTTCATTACCGACCTCCTGCTTACGAAGACGGGACATGACTCTATACTGGTGCTGGTTGACTCCCTTACTAAGATGGCACACTTCATCCCCGCGAAAAAGAGATTCACAACGGCAGATACCGTGGACGTTCTCGCCGATCGCCTTATTCGTTATCGTGGGCTGCCCGAGGCTCCATTTCGGACCGTGATCCACGTTTCCAATCAGATCTATGGCAGCAGCTGTGTACGCGTTTTAACATCAAACGCACTTTTTCCTCCACATACCGCCCCCAGAACGACGGCCAAACTGAACGAGTAAACCGCACGCTCGAACAGATGCTCCGCATCTACATTCAATCTGACGCACACGAATGTGAGAGATTATGACCTGCCCTAGAGCTCGCGTACAACACCACTAGCCATTCTTCCACCGAGCTTTCCCCCTTCGAGGTCATGATTGGCGAGAACCGCCTGACTGCAGCGGATCTCGATGTCGTCGGCGCCCTCTCCCCTACCCGTACTCTGCCGATGACCAAGCTCTTTCGCCAGCTCTGCGACCGGGCGCAGAGTCATATCCTGGAGGCAAAAGGTCTACGAAAGCTCTACGCAGACACCCACCGCCGCGAAGTGGAGTATGCGGTGGGCGACAAAGTCTGGCTCAGTAGCAAGCACCATCCCGCCCTAAACACATGCCCAAAGTTTGAACCCCGTTTCCGTGGGCCCTTCATTATTACTGAACGCATTGGGAGTGCTGCTTGCCGCCTGGTACCGCGTTCCCCCCGACTTACGAATGCCATGATCTCTTTCACGTTTCCCAGTTAGTTCCTGACCGCCCCGGCGCCCCCGAGCTGGAACCTCAGGAGGCCGTTGTGGGGTGGCCTCCTACTCGAGATGTCGTAGGTAACCCCACGGATCGGTATGAATTCGACTACATCATGGACCAGCGCCGGTCTGGCGGCGGTATCCAATACCTTGACAAGTGGCGGGGCTACCCAGAGGACCAAGCCACCTGGGAACCTGCTAGCCATCTGAACGGTTGCCCTGCACTGCTGCGCGCCTGGAGGCGCCGTCACCGGAACCGCCGTCCGTCCTTATCCGCTGCCATCTTTTCCTTCGGGCACCCCCCACCTTCCCTTTTCGCCAGATGTCGCCCGCTTACCGCCGTGTGGCGGGGGGGAACGGGGTGCAGAAGCACCCCACGTGGCGGTAGCAGCTTATCTACACAGCCAATGGCCTAGCTTAGAGGAACACGGACGCGCATGTAGCGGTAAGCCATCACAATAAGCACCAGCACACTGTACCACCTGTAGAAAAGTCGATATCTACACCACGTTAGTGTAACTATTCATAGAGTCCCTGGTGGAGGCAATACTCAGGGGAGGTACATATACTCTGAGTCGGAGAGTGGCAAAATTAAAAGGGTAGAAAATAGAAAGAGAAAAATAGGAATAATTGCACTAAAATTAGCCAGAAGGGATAGGGTGAATGTACTAGGAATAGCGCTAGAATAGCTGACGTAGAAACACAAGCAGGAGCATCAGCTGAAATGCTAAGGCGCACTTCCTCAGCAGCGACGACACCAAACAAAAATATAATAGGACTAGAGAGAGGTCTAATTAGCTAGCCCTGCAAGGTCCTAAGGCTTCCCATATAGTTGTTATCAACT